TGAGAGGACAGGAAGAAGAAATGCAAACACAGAAAGGCAGGTCCAGGTGTACTTTCTATTTGAAGAAAGACAAAAAACACCAACACGTTAAAGATAAAAATACTTACAAATACAAACAGGTAGAGTAGAACAAGTAAAGACAGCAGCAGAGAGGAAACGTGGTCAATCTGTCCTCTGGCAGTCTTGGCCTATAGCAGCATAATTAAGGGCCGGCTCAGGAAACCAAAGCCAACCCTAACTGTTACTGGTGTAACGGTACGCTAAAATCACTTTTCGGTTCGCTTCATTTTTGGTACAAAAAAGGCCAAAATGAAAACTTACTAAATGTTTATTTTGAAAATATGCCAAGTAAACAATATGTTTGTATAAAAATAAATAAAAGTGACCCATCTGGATGATATTTTAAATAAAAGTCACTCTTTACAATAAATAGACTATACTAACAGTAATAAAAATCTTAATAAATACAATAACAGTCGGATCCAGAACAATAAGCAGCAACAGACTGTTCACAATCAAACTAATCAAGTTTTAAGTTTTTGGCCAAAAAGACCAACTTGTCCACATTTTCTGCCAAAATCACAGATCTAGTTACAGTGAATATCTCCAGCGGTGGAGAAAACTGCTCACTAACAACAGGTGGCAGGAATAAAGAGGTAGAGCTTTGATAATTTTGCAGTGTGGCTGTATTTGGCCTCATTACTCACAACCTCTTGGACCTGCTCCCACAGGTGGGACAGGTCCCTGGAAAAGTTCAGAGTTCACTCATCACAGACTTCTTAGCTGGAGGTGATCTCTGGTGGATTTCCCTGAAGAGGAAGAAGACTCAGCTGCTATCTCTGTCCCAGACTGGAAATAAAACACAAATAGTAAAACAAATGAGTTAAGATTATCATTTTAAATAAAAAAGTTAATTGGATAATAATAATAAAATAACAATACCTCTTCTTGAACGACCATTGTTTGTTATGAGGTGGTTGAATCTCTCGGTCATCATCATCAGGGCAGAACTTTAATCTGGTCCAGGTCTTGTTGACAATATCAGTTTTAGCTTTTTCATAAAGTGCTGCTACAACTATTTGGCTGAAGTGTTGATGTGATGGGATGTCGTAGCGGGCCTCAATAACTTTAAATCCGGCGCATCAACAGCAGAATACGGACGTAGATCCAGAGCTTTAAAAACTCCTACAACTTGTGTTGTTGCTCTGGACCGATCTGAATTACCTGATAAATGTTGTTTAAATGCTGCTGCTGGCCCTGTGATGGACTTGCGACCTGTCCAGGGTGTACCCCGCCCCTCGCACAGTGAATGCTGGACATTTGACCCCCGTGACCCAAAATGGAAGAAGCGGGTGAAAGATAATGGATGGATAAATGCTGCCGTTATCGGTCTTTGCACCAACTTTAGAAGAGATGTTCATGTTCGGATGATGTCGTTTCACGAGCGTTAACAAGTTAGACGTGTTGCTGCTGCAGATCCACTCTCCGTGAAACAACGTCGACACACAGCTTTGGATTTGTTCACTTGTCTTTTAACAAGAAAGCCATAATGTTTCCAAACGGGAGACCGCAACGAGATGCTAGAATGCTAATGCTGCGCGTGCTGCAATAGCGCCGTGCTGAAACACGCTTAGGAACTTAAGTTCCACGGTGCATAATCTCTCGTTAATAAAATTTAATGAGTGTAAAAATAACTGAAACGGTACACAGGTGGACCGAACCGAACATGCTCTACTGAAACTGTTCAATACACCCACATGTACCGTTACACCCCTACAAACTGTAGAACTGATCAAAAAGGAAAGACTTCAGCCCATTTTGAATGCATCAGTCAGCCTGATCAGCACATCTAGTCAGCCATACATTCAGTCAACTCTCGGTGGACTGATACATTTGGCAGCACCAGGACACTTCACACATCATCTTTTTAAAGTTGTATAGACGGCACCTCCTAGCCCCACACAATTGGTGCATCCTGTGTTTGTGTGTTTGTCAGCTGGGCATTTGCCTCCAAGCAATCTTTTAATTTATTTTTGTTTTTAGGGCTCAAAGAATACAAAGTAATAATACATTAGAAATGGGTTTGTGATGAGTGCACATAATGGGTTATTGAAGGGTTCTATTGGAAAACTCCAGTTTGTGGCATAGTGGTGTAGTGGTTGAAATGATCATCTCACAGCTAGAAGATGCTGGATTTAAAACTTGGCCAGTGTTTCTCTGTGGAGTTTGGATGTTCACCCTGTGCACGCATGGGTTTTCTCTGGGTACTCCGTCCTCTCACAGTCCAAAAACTTGCATTTGGTTGATCGGTGACTTAACTGTTCTTAAGTATGAACGTGTGCATGCATGTGTGGGGTGGGGGGGTCGAGTTAGAAGTGTTTTTCTTATGATTGCCAGTCCCCATTACCTTTAATACTACATGGTGCTACTGTTAACAAGTCTTTGGCTCACAGTTTTGCTAATAAATAACATTTGAAATGTAGAAGTGGTGCTGTGAGTAAGAAATGGACTAACTAATATGGCTTTATGGGGAAACCAGTTGTGTCAGATGAGTCACAATAAACGTTATCTGTTTATATCCATTCATCCATTTTCTGCTGTTTATCTGTGGCCACATCACGGGGACAACAGGTCCATTATATCATGTGGAAAATACACATATAAATGTAATCTCTGTGTTCTGCCCAGCCCGTTTTACTATTGACTTAAAAAAAATGTAAGGCCACGTTGTAGTGCATGTCTCAGTCTTAGCTTGACACAACTACATGCAAAACATTACAAGTTTATATCAAGTACGAAGAGTTCATATTGAAATTGAGGTGATCTAATAAAGAAAACGAACTCCTCTTTTAAATTGTTTATTTGCATTTAGTCTGTTTTGAACGTGTAATCTGCAGTGAGCTAAAATCTACAGACAACTGCTTCAGTGTCGAGGCTTAAATAAATAAAAACGTCTTTGCATTTTACTGACCTTTTCAAGCTGAAGCTTTTGTGTTGGCGTTGTTTATTGTTCAGACAAACGTGATGTTAAAAGGCTTGTTAATCTTATTTACACATCAAGAGTGACTGCTCTGTACAGGAGGTGTTGCACCTCCTCGCAGGAAGCGTGAAAACCTGACTGTAAACCTGTGTCATGCTGATTTAAGTTCTCGAGTTAGTCGAGAGACTTTTCTGAATGTCCAACTTTTAAATATTCTGAGTTTGTAACAGAATATTGAATACATGAAGAAACGGTCTGCTGGTTGTGGAGTACTCTCTTTACATCCAGACTGTAGAAATGTGAACTTCGCAATACTGTAAGTAGATTTTAGCGTTCAGAGTTTTAACATGAGCAGATGGTGGAAAGAATGAAAGGCATCTGGACCAATCAGCTCTTAGCTTTATCCAGTTGAGTAAAGCTGAGAAAACATCTGTCTGGTGGCAGGGTGCAGCTCTGTGAAGTCGTGATTTTTGACAAATTTTAGCAATGACATGCACTGCCACGTAAGGTGTAAAAAATATAGAAAGATGTGCGTTGCGCTGGATGTTACCCACATCTCGTCTGCGATGACCTGAAGACAGAAACTCAGTTGTTAGCCTGCTGCTAGTGCATTTCTAAATCCACCACTTCAGTTCCACTTACTTAAGCTACTGCAATAAATTAACAGGATGGATATTTATGGGGCACAAATGGGTTTAGTGACACCAAATGTGTATTGAAAAGCATATTTGTGTGAGGACATGATGAATGTTTGGTCCCTGGTACCTGCCAGGCTATGCAACGAACCCAGAAGTGGTTGAGGAAAAATGGTGGGAGGGAGGGTAGAAGTATGGAGGAATAAAGAAATAAGGTGCAGGGGGGGAGGGAAACTCTGTGGCGGTGCAATTTGGCTTGGGTGTTGTTTTTGCACGGCATAGAAGCAACAAGCAAACCTCCCCCACCTCCTCCCTGTCCTGCTCTCCACTACACAAACTCATTGAGGCATGCTTAGATCCACCTACCCTCACCCTCGTGCAGAATGGGGTGTTGCGTTGGCTGCTGAATGAGGGGGAGGATGATTAAATTCAGGTCAGTCGTTCTAATTTTAACAAATGCAGTTATTTTTATACTAAAATAAACTCCTCCTTTTATATTTTTTTTGCATTTTATGTGGAAAATAAAATCCATAAACTCAAAAGAAGAAGGAGGCAGGTGGCTGTTTCCCTTGTCTCGAAACATCTGCCTAGACTGCCTGAGTAGTTCTTGAATGGGCTGCCGTCAGACTGACTGGTGTACGTAAAGTCTCTGCCCTGTTGGTTGGCTAATTTCTGGCTGGATGGCAGCTGCTGCTGTTCAAACAGAGCTGCATCTGCTCGGCCCTTTGTTCTAACACACACACACACTCATAAAAACACACACTCAATGACTCCAAGTGTGTGTTGGTAAAGAAAGAAGTTCCTTTGTTTGGTTGTAAAATGGAGATGGGGGTAGGCTAATGCAAAATGTGTGTCTGAGTGAAGAGGGTGCTTTAACGTTTTAACTCTTACTGCATTTGTGTTCATTTATTTATTTTGTCTGCGATTGTCACAGATGAGTAGTAAGATTATTTTTGTGTCTGTGTAACAACTAATGGGATTACCAAAATTATCAAATTAGTTTAAACGTGAAATCCTGCTTTCCCAAGTTGTGATGTTATGTACGTTTAACATTACTGCCAGTCGTCTTGCTTTTAAATTGTAATAAATGTCTGTCAGAAGTCGTATTTTATTGGAACATGCATTTGAATTTTTAGTTCTACGGAGTGACCAGAATGGTTGGTTTATTGGTTCTTCTTTCATTAGAAGATATTTAAATTGTTGTTGAATGTGGTGGTTAGTTGTGCACAATTATTTAATTAATGGATTAATTCTTGTTAATTGGTGTTCAATGTCTAATAACCTGATTTTACAAGTATAAAGTACCGGTAGTTGTTTTTTAACACATCCACTAACTCCACATTTTGTGTTCTGCTTTCTCTGTTCTGTTTTTCAAATGTCTCCAGGAACCTTGATGAGGACCATGGAATTGAAAGCTTCAAATTAGTAGCTATCAGATTAGCTCTTAACTGCACAACACACCTCACACCTGTGGGCCCACCACCCAGCCATGGCGGACCCAGGGATGTTGAGTTTATTTGGGGATGATGCAGGGTTGTTCTCAGATGGATTAGATGGTTTAGGAGACTGCTTTCCCCAGCAGCCAGCCCCTGGTCAAGCCAACCCTCTAACCCAGCAGACCAATTCTTCACTGAACCATGAGCACCAGGGGAACAGGAGTTACCACCAAGGCATGCTGCACGGCACTGGGCCTGGACCAGGGCAGTCCAAGTTGGGTCAAATGTATGAACACGGCCCCTACTCCAGCTATGATCAACCTGGTGCACCTGGAGCACGAATGATGGCTCAGAATGGTCCTAGCCAGGGGCCACCGAATGTGAACACGGCATTGAATGGAATGACCTCCCACTATAACCCAGCCAACTCTAGCAACACTCATCATGGGTACCAGAGTGATGCGGGGGGAGGAGGAAGTGGAGGTGGAGTTTGGGCCCAGCAGCAGCAGAGCAGATCTGTATATCAGCAGTCATCAGCACCATCAGGAGGCGGCCCCAGTCAGATGGGGGGCTACCAGATGTCTCAAGGAAGTTATGCAGGGATTCAAGGTCCACCTACATCAAGTACTTCTCGCATCAACCAACACTACCCTTCTCAAAGTATGGTGCCCCCTCCTGCTCAGGACCCATCTCACTACTTAGGACATGTTGGGATGGGAGGGGTCCAGATGAGACATCCCCAGCCTCAGCCACAATCCCAGGGCTATCCCAATATGGGCCACACACCTCGATACCCACACTCCCCCTCCAGACAGCCTCCACACCCCCACCAGCACCAACAGGGCATGGCACCATTTGGGGGTGCTCAGTACCCTGGCTATCAGGCCCAGTATGCTGCTATGGGACCTGGGATGGGCCAGGGTGCTAATGCTGCTGTCGGTGCTAACACCAGCCAGGCTTTGGGATCAGGGCAGCTCGGCCAGAGGTTCAGCCAGGGAACAAGTTCAGCACCCGGGCAGCAGGGACAACGATACCCCCCAGGACCGCCACACCAGACTCTCTCTGCCTCCATGCAGCAGCAGGCAGGGCAACAAGGCCAGCCTATGCACCCCCTCAACCACCCCCAGAACCTATCCCAGCCCCCAAACCAGCCCCAATCGCACCTTGCCCCCCAAACTCAGGGATCTTTCTCCTCCCCCTCCTCCATGTCTCCCATGCGGGTTTTGGGAACTCCAACCCCTCCTCCCCAACAGGGCAGACCCCCTAGCGCAGGATTACCTGTTCCATCAGAGGTTGCAGGATACACAGCCCTGCAGTCTCCACCCAGTACTATGACCCATGCACAAAGAACTCCCCAAACCCCATTAACTGCCACACACCCCCAACACCAGCAGCCCCACATGCCCCCCAATGCAGGCCAAATGTATCCTGGCATGGGGCCGCAGCGTGGTCCACAAATGGGTCCAAATAGGCTGCAGCAACAGCAAGGTAAGCAGCAGAAAGTGGGTCTTTGTCCACATTGGGTATTTATGGGTTTCATATGGGCCATAATCTGGTAATTTAAAAGTAATTAATCTGTAGATGACGCAAAAAGAAGTTAAGCGAGCTGTGGTGCACAGAAGTTTTAATAAAGGTATATTAACATTTGTTACTTGTTTGCACCACCACTCCCTATAAAGAGGGAATGGGAGTATATGTATTAAAAAAAATTACAAATTTGAAAAAGAATATCTTTGTTTGCTTTGACTTCTTAGACACAGAGTGATTCAGCCTCCACACTGCAGAGTTGGAGGGATTTTGCTCAGGGGCAGAGATGTTGCCCTCAAGCAAGATTTTCCTAACTCTTTGAACCTATAAGCATGCATCAGGATATCTTTGAACCTATCTATTTTCAATTCATTCAGTTTATTTATATAGCACCAAGTCACAACAGAAGTCATCTCAGGGCACTGAACAGAAACATTTATATAGTATATAAAAAGTAAGTTAACACTATTTATCTGAGGAGCAGACTGCTTTGAATTTAGCTTCATCGCAGACTCGTCTTGAGCAAGTACGAAGGCAACAGTGGAAAGGAAAAACTCCCTCATGTGGAAGAAACCTCCAGCAGGATCAGGACAAGCGGCCATCTGCTTTGACTGGCTGGGTTTGAGAGGAACAGGAAGGAGGAACAGATACACAATGGCAGGTCAAGAATCACGTTATGATAGAAATGGTATCAAATGAAAACTATTGAATTTTAACAATTCATTTAAGGAAATTAGGTTGGTTTGTTCTCCATTAGTCAAAGCCTGGGCAGCACAGTGGCGCAACTGGTGGAGCCTCTCAGCGAGCAGGTCCCTGGTTCAAATCCTGGTCCGGGTGCCTTTCTGGGTGGAGTTTGCATGTTCTCTCCGTGCATGCATGGGTTTTCTCCAGGTACTCCAGTTTCCTCCCACAGACCAAAAACATGCATGTTAGACTTATTGGTAACTCTTAAATTGTCCCTAGGTGTGAGTGAGAGATTGAATGGTTGTTTGTCTCTAGGTGTCCCAGTGATGGACTGGAGACCCGTCCAGGTGTACCCCGCCCCCCACACAGTGACCCCGGCGACCCCCGTGACCCAAAATAGATGGTAGAAGATAATGGATGGATGGTCAAAGCCTATGTCAGAATAATAAGCCAATCCTAATTATAGGATTTATCAAAAAGGAAAGTCTTAATCCCAGTCTTAAAACTGGACAATGTGTCAGCCTCACGGACAGAAACTGGAAGTTGGTTCCACAAGAGAGGAGCCTGATAACTGGAAGAGCTTCCTCCCATTCTGCTTTTGGAAACTCTAGGAACCACAAGTAAACCTGCAGCCTGAGAGCGAAGTGCTCTGTTAGGAAAATATGGAACAATAAAATCTGTAATATAAGATGGAGCCAGGTTGTTGAGAGTTTTGTAGGTCGGGAAAGATTTTGAATTAAATTCTGGATTGACAGGGAGCCAATGGAGGTAATCTAAAACTGGAGAGGTTTGATCTCTCCTGCCACTCCCATTAAGACATTTTCATCACTTTTTGACCCGTCGATTGAAAGCTTCTCTGAAGCCTTGAAATCATATTGCTGCGTTAAGCTCGTCTGTCGTGTTTTGCGATGTCTATTTTTAAACTGATTTTCTGTCCACTGCGGGAAACGGAAGAAGCCAACTTTAAGGAAGCAAAATTTAAATGGTGATAAAATCGTTGACTTCTTTTTCCAGGGCCTCATGAAGCCTCAGTCACCCAGGGTGGAGACCAGCGTCTACTCCAGACCCAACAGGCCTCTCGAGGGGGGCAGCCTATGCAGCCTGCTTCCATGGGTTTCCAGGGTCCACCTATCAGTCAACATGGAGTCCCTGCCCCTAACCAGGGTTTAGCTCCACCCACCCAAAGCACTCAAACGCAGCACGGGCATCTGCCCCCACACCCTCTTCACCTGCAGAGCACGCCCCCTCCCTCCAACCAGGCCTCCCACCCATGGGCAGCCTCCACCTCCCACCCTCTCTCCTCCCCCCCTCTTACCCCACAGAAAGTGCCTCACATACAGGTGAGTCTCCATCAGACAAACACTTTGATGTGGCAGCAACGCTGCGAGTGTGTGAGATCAAGACTCTGTGCGTTTGTTTTTGTGTGTGGGTGTTTTTCATGTGAGTGTTTATTTTTCATGTGGGTGGGGAAACGTCTGTTTGGAGTCTAAGGGAAGTGCGTGTGTGTTCACGTGTGTGTGCGTGCATGACATTTGAGAACACAGCGGTGTATTGGACTTGATCACAGGGGTTTTGTGTGTGTGTTTCTGCGTTCTCTTCACATCACTGTGCTTTTTGCAGCTTTTGTTTGCGGCTCTCGGCCTGGTGTGTGGTTGTATTTCCGTGTGTGCGTGAGGGAAATGGATTTTTGCAGCTGTTTGCTTCCTGTGAGCAGCATATCCTGAGACACGTGCAACACAAATGCATAGACACACACACACTAACAGAGGCGCCACCAGCATAATCTCTTCTTGCTCTTGGTTTTACTCCCCTCCTCCTCTGTGGAGGAAACCTCCCTTCCTGTCTCTCCCTCCTCCCCGTCTCCTCTCTTTCCGCTCTCTCTCTCTCTCCACTTGTCTGTCTTTCTCCCCATTTGTCTCGTCCACTTTAAGGGTGTCATCACTAACTTAATGTAGTGTAGCCGAATGTGCAGAATAAGAGTTAAGAAAAAAAAATGCTGACAAATGTTAATAAATATAAAGCGTTGGTTGATGAAGTGAGGGGGGAAACTAAATGTGAGAAAACAAGCAAGGATCTGAGGAAAGAAAATGAGCCCAGGATCTTTAGCAAGTGAAAGGAGGAGGGTAGAGCTGATGGGAAGAAGTTAGCAGTTCTCAGTGGTAACAGCCATGTTTGTGTCTTTGAGTGTGCACAACTGTGTCATGTGCTCTCGCCTTCCATTAGCTTGTTTTGTTGCTCAAAGCCCCCTTTCTCCACTGACCCATTCATACACAATAGCAGCCCTGTGGCCACACAAACACAGAGCCAGTCCCCTTCTTCTATTCACTCTGCACCCCTTCTCTCAGCTATTACTCCCCACCTCCAAGACTGCGCCGCTGTGTTCCTTGGTTGACATTTCAGCCGTCACAGTTAATTTATCCAGGACTCCTGACCTAGATGCCAGGTTGACTGGTGAGCCCCACTTCTCGCCTGGGTGCGCTGCATGTGCCGTCCTGACTTTAGCTGCAGGCCCGGCAGCTCCCGTCATCATATACACACACGCAAGCATCGATAGTTTGGTCTGGAACAGAAAGTCTGGTCTGCCTTGGGAAATAGGATAGCCTAACTGCAGAAGTGTGTGTGCGTGTGTGTGCGCATGCGTGTGTGAGAGAGAGAGAGACATGGCAGGACTTCTCTCATGATGCACTTGTTAGAAAAGGCCACACACACACACACACACCAAGCTGGTCAGTCAGTCATGATGACTGTATGTCTGGTACTCTAAGCTCCATCTGTTCACTAAGCATGGTTATTACACACGCACACACACACACACACACACGTGCATGATCGCCTTCGTCAGCATCTCAAGGTCACAGCTCTCTGGTAGACTGTTGTGCTATGACCTTTATTCTACAATTCGCGCGTGTGCACACACACACACGCAGTGTTGCGTGCAGCACTCCAGTTGACACATGACGTGCTCGTCTCGCCCCTCCCCCGCTCGTTCACGCAGTCAGCGAGCTGCTACACCATTAGCTCTCTGAGATTCTGCAGCTTCTCCGTGTGCAGCCGTGTCCTGTTTGAGATGATGGAGCCAGTGGGAGATCTAAATATCCAACAGGCTGAATGTGTTCAACTTTTTAAAACTTGTCATTAATTTTAGTTCTTTGACGAGTGTCCCCAGATATTTCCAGCATCAAAATTTGTTAGATTGCTCCTGTTTTTATTTATTTATGTATTTATTTTAATGTTTTTGTAAAATAGTTTTTTTTTTTCCTTTTGAAACTGCCCAACAGACATTTTGAAATTGACATTAATATTTGTTGTTTGTCTAAAAATACTATGAAAACCTGAAAGTACTAGAGGTGGCACTGATTGCAGTTTTCTGGCCAAGCACCCATCTCTAAAAAGTCTGACCTGCCGATTCAGATCTTGGCCAATACCAATGTAGTTTTATAAGTGACGCTCAGGTGTTATAAAGTCACAATGCAACTTCAATTTTACAATATTATTTTGTTGCAAAACATAACCTTGAACAATATCCTGGAAACAATACTAACTTGTTTTAACTGGTCATGAGGTAGTGCTCTGAAATGGAAATGAAGTTCAGACAGTTGCTGTGAAAACTACAAAAAATCAGTAAAATCTGTTTATAAAATCAGTATCAGACGATTGTCGATCACCCAGAATTAAGGAAATTGATTTATTGGTTCACCCCATTTTCAGGTCTCTCTTGTAAACAAGTTCTCGAGGCTCAATGGGATTAACCTGTCTAAATAAAGGTTGAATTAATCGGTTATCAGTTATGTCACATTATATTTGAAAAATACTATCAACTCTCTGACAAGCAGCATTTTAGTAGTTTTGGTGAAGCAATTTACTGTGTGATGAACTTTCACTGTTTACTGAGCACGGCTTTTTTCTTCAGATTATCTGGTTGGTGGGGAATAAGATGAACAAATTGTAGCTTAAATCTGTGTCCTAAATATATATTTTCAGCATGCAAGATTTCAGCTAGAGGTATCCCAGCCTCTAGTACTTGTACTCCTAAATACAGCCCAATACTTCAACCCAATGCCTCTTTTATGCTTGGTGATGTCACTCATTTCTATTTGCACTTTGCAAGTAATGGAGGAAATTGGAGGACAAAAAATAAAAAGTGGTTCGTCTAATCATTCTTTAAAGTTTGATGTGACATTTGTTTGAGATTAAAAAAATATTCAATTTGAAACATAAGAGAAATTATGATGCAGAACTGAGAAGAAAGCATTAGATCAGCTGTAAAGAAACCAAGGTGAGTTTCAACACTTTCAAGCTCAAGTCAAACTTGAAACAACAAAACTGTTTGAGATCTATAAGTGTTATATCAAAGATAGTTTCCTCCCTTTGGTGGGCTTTCAGTGGTGTGTGACACGTTAGTGCTCTCTTCCCACTAAATGCTCAGGTTTCATTTGCAAATTCAGGTCTCAAGTTTTTATTTTTATTTATTTATTTATTTTGGTGTCGGATAGAGGGAAACAATTTGCTTTAGATTTTGTACATTCAGATCTTTTACAGAATACATTTAAACCGACATTTTAGTATACACACAAATCTTAAGTAAAGTAATTTTAAGTACACTTTAATAGTGACAGTTTTTGCACAAATATGTGCAAAAAGTGGTGCTTGAAAGTTTGTGAACCTTCTATAATTTTCTATATTTCTGCATCAATATGACCTAAAACATCATCAGACCTTCACACAAGTCCTATACGTAGATAAAGAGAACCCAGTGAAACAAATGAGACAAAATATTAAACTTGGTCATTTATTTATTGATGAAAATGATCCAATATTCCATGTTAATGAGTGGTAAAATTATGTGAACCTCTAGGATTAGCAGTTAATCTGAAGGTGAAATTAGAGTCAGGTGTTTTCAATCAATGGATGATGGTCAGGTGTGAGTGGACACCCTGTTTGATTTAAAGAACAGGATCTATCAAAGTCTTCTCAACATGTTGGTGGAAGTGGATCATGGAGGAACAAAGGAGATTTCTGAGGAGCTCAGAGAGAGTTGTTGATGCTCATCAGGCTGGAAAATGTTACAAAACATCTGTAAAGAGTTTGGACTCCACCAGTCCACAGTCAGACAGATTGTGTACAAATGGAGGAAAGACCATTGTTACCCTCCCCAGGAGTGGTGGACCAACAAAGATCACTCCAAGAACAAGGAGTGTGATAGGCCAAGGTCACAAAGGACCCCAGGGTAACTTCTAACAACTGAAGGTCTCTCTCACATTAATGTTGATGTTCATGAGTCCACCATCAGGAGAACACTGAACATCAATGGTTCATGGCAGAGTTGAAGGAGAAGACACTGCTCTCCAACAAGAACATGGCTGCTCGTCTGTAGTTTGATAAAGATCATGTGGACAAACCAGAAGACTGTTGGAAGAATTTTTTGTGCACGGATGAAACCGAAATAGAACTTTTTGGTTTAAATGAAGTTTGTTTGGAGAAAGGAAATCTGTATTCCTGCACAAGAACCTCAACCCATCTGTGAAACACGGTGGTGGTAGCATCATGGTTTGGGCCTGTTTTGCTGCATCTGGGCCAGGACGGCTTGCCATCATTGATGGAACAATGAATTCTGAATTATATCAGAGAATTCAAGAGGAAAATGTCAGAACATCTGTTCATGAACTGAATCTAAAGAGAAGGTGCATTGTTTCCCCTACCATTATACAAGGGGGCACCCCACCCTGTCAACAGAACCAAGCGCCCTGCCTATCCAACTGTCACCCCCCCACCACCACCACCAGTCGTCAACTGGTGTTACTGACGTAGCTCTAACGGCACGCAATACAGATGTGCTAGCTAAAAAGCTACAGAGGTAGCGCTCAGTCTTCCTCACACTGTGCCATTTCCTTCACACACACCTGGTCGACAACTGTCCACATGTACAGTGTGCACAACACGGATGTTTCTGTCTCCCCCACCCCACTCGACAAAAATCGTGGAAAGTACGAGCGCCCTGCCAAGGCAAGTAATCTAGGGGAAACACTGAGGTGGGTCATGCAGTGAGACAATGACCCTCAGCACACAAGTTGTTCTACCAAAGAATGGTTCAAGAAGAATAAAGTTGATGTTTTGGAATGACCGAGTCAAAGTCCTGACCTTAATCCTCAAAATGTTGTGGAAGAACCTGAAGCAGCAGCTAATGTGAGGAAACCACCAACATCCAGAGTTGAATCTGTTCTCTACGGAGGAATGGGCGAGTATTCCCCCAAGCTGGTGTGCAGGACTGATCAACACTTCAAGGAAATTGTTTTCTTCTTTCGGCTGCTCCCTTCATCAGGGGTCACCACAGCGAACTGAGTCGCACGAAGACTTGGTGATTATGCTGGATGTCCTTCCTGATGCAACCACAGACCACCGAGCTACCACAGCCCTCTGTGTGGAGCAGAGAGCTGCCATCTAGGGCGCCCGGGGGAACAGATGGTGGGGGTCAAGGGCCTTGTTCAAGGGCCCAGAGTGGGGCAAATGAGGGTGGAGGCAGGTGAGGGTGCTTGACCTATTTGGTTCACACCAAATACTGAAAGCAAAGGACTTGTATGAAAATCTGATGATGATTTAGGTCATATTTATGCAGAAATATAGATGATTATAAAGGATTCACAAACTTTTAAGCACCACTGTATTTGTCACAGCTGGAACAGTTTTGTGGACATTGAAAGCACTTCTGAAGGAGCAGATATTTCACTTCGTTTATTGATTAAGAGAAGGTTATATTTTCATGTACAACTTTACATTTTTAGTAATGCCATCATAACTACTTATGAGTATAAAAGTCATTTTAATTCATACGTCAGCCTTGGATTTGGGGACAAGAACTAGTCTTAAATTGAATGTTGTGAGCTATAATAATAAAAAAATTAGGTAATGAAATTTGAGCATTGTTTCATGTAAAATATATTTTAATTTTGGGTTTTTACCATGTTGTTTACATTCTGTTTGTGACTATCATCTCTGACCCAAGCTGTTATTTATCTTAAGCGTCACAGAGGGTAGTTGTCATTGTGTAAAACTCATTTCATACTAGAGAGCAAGTTCATTCAACTCTGCACAGTATTTACTGGCAGCCCAATAATTAGTGACCTTTGAACTTGAGTTGTAAAGTAGAATATTAAACCTTGTTTTAGAACAATCGCAGCTAATTGTTGGTCACTGCTGCAACACCTTGGTCGTTTTAACTTGGCTTGTTATTGAACTCGTGAGTAGAATAAGATGCATTTCAGGTCCTGTTTCAGAATGTGTAGGCAACAGGTGGCAGCAAAACAAAAACAGATCGGTGATTAAAACGGATGGTTCTGTTTTTGTTGGATGAATCGTGTTTCAAAAGATGGGTGTGACCATCCGATCTACAGATAAAGATGGATAAAGTGAGTTGGGAGTTTTAAGGTTTGATGTTTGTGTTCTTTATAGATTATTTCAAATGAATTTTGCTGACATTTATTGCCCACTGCAGTTATTCATACGGGCAATGATGTTTTTGTCCTTGCCTGTGTGTTTGTATTGGTTTGTCTGTTGTGTTGGCAAAGTACTTCAGGAACCACTGGGTGGATTTTTATTTTTTTTTACTTTCAAAAAGTTATCACTTAGTGTACTATACTTACAAAGTTTTAGAGTCAACCAGATTTTAGATGGCAGCCAAAGCCAACTGAACTTGATAAACACAAACTGCACCTCAGCCAATCTTATTACAGCTATTAAGCTCATGTTTGATTTATTTAACCAATACACACAATGTAATTAGCAAAGTTTGACCCAATTGTGTATACCTCTGTCCCCTCTTGTCACAATGAGTGGTGATCATGGTGGTTTTGAAAAGCGGCGGGCGATATGCATTCTGTCCAGGAATGCTCGGCCTTTTATTTTAACCTGTTTTGGAAGCTAGTACTGATGCAGGACCATTTTAAGGTGAGAAGGATTTGAAAGAGTACAAGTTAGCACGCCACCGAGTTAAATTTATACTGCAGAACACCAAACCTGACGCAGCAGACGTTTGTGTATGTGTTTGTGTGCATCAATGTGTGCACACCTTGTGTCTCCATTGTCATTCCTGTGATTGATATCTAAGAAGCTTGGCAGGAGGACAGATTTATCTCTTGGCACTGCATCTCCCTCACCATCTCCTACCTTTTGCAACTGTCTCTCTATCTGTCTCTCTCCCCAAGATCCCCTCCCTTCCCCCCCATTTGTGCATCTAAATGGCTCAGTTTACGTGTGTGTCAGCAGGTGTGGGTGTGCAGAGGTTTGTGTGATGTGTGACCTTGCAGCACTCTGGTGTTTGTGTGTACATTAGCATTCTTCTGATGGAAGTGAACTTTCGGCATCTCAACTCCTTCCTGCTCCGTATGAACAAACTATGCTAAGTGTGTGTGCGTGTGCACGTGTGTGCGTAAACTTGCTGATGCTCATACATACACCAAAAGGACACACACAAATGTGCACGTGCATACCAACTGACTCTCAAAGGCATACTCTCTGGCTGTTGTATGACACACGCACACACATTCTCCCTCGCTGTGCCTTTTTGAAGTATGGAGATAATTTATTCGTGTCATGATGCCTGATTTCCCATCTGCTACTGGGACCCTGAGCAGCTGGAGAGAGAGAAAGCAGTAGGGAGGGAGGGAGGGATGGAAGAGAGGGACAGGGAAGGAGAGGCAGCTGGAGTGGCTTCCAACAGCTGGTAACCAGTTTCCTGTCACAGAAAACTTGGGAGCAAAAAGGAGCTGCATGAGGAAGGAGCACAAAGATGGGCTTTAGTCTGCAGGAGAGCAAAGGGGGAGACAAAATAAGGTGTCAGATGGTTTGTTTGCTAAGGCGTTGGAGGATGAGGCTGGGGGGAGGTGGAAACTGGAGCAACAGGGAGTCATGGATAGGTAGGAAGTGTCAGCCATGCTCATGGATGGATGGACGGACGGTTCTTTGAAATCACTCTGTGAGCTGCTATTACTGGTTTAATTCCAACTTTGCAAAATAAAGTCAACCAACAAGCAAGAAATTTGATGAAACTTTGATTAATTTTTTTATAAATTTTTTTTTTTTAAAGTTTAAAAATTGGAACATTTTCAATTTGAATACTTGTTTTAGTGTGAACAATTCAACATTGCTAAATTTATTGACCAAATATGCAATATAGTTGTCACTAGCAAGTCAAATGGTAAAATCAGTATTTGTTTAAGTTCTTGGTTTAAAATTTAGAACGGAAAATGGATTTTAACTGTAGATAAATTAGCTTCCTGTTTTTGATACTCCTCTTTTTTTATATGCAAATATTTGTGGTTTTTATATAGTTTAAAATGTTGTCTTTCTCCACCTCTTCAGCATTCCCCCTCGGACCTGTCAGGTGATGCCTCAATGATGGTTCCTGACAGGCCAGCGGTTGGTGCCGGAGCCCCCAACCAACCTATCAGCACAGAGAAGCCAAGTGATCAGGAGACCAAGCCAAAAAAGAAGAAGAAAAAGAAAGCAAAAGTAGATGAGAAAGAAGGAGGCGCAAAGGCAGCCAGGGAAGGAGGAGATGAAGTCAAGTCAGAATTTCCTGCAACAGGAAGTAATGTGGGTGAACAGGTTACTGGCACAGGACTTGTTGAAGGAAGTTTGCCGCCAGTGGAAGGGAAGAAAAAGCGGAAAAAGAAACCAAAGGAGAAGACAGAGGGCAAGGAGCCCAAAGAGCCCAAGACTCCGAAGACACCCAAAACACCCAAGACTCCCAAAGAGCCCAAGGAGAAAAAAGCCAAGAGCACCACACCCAAGGCCAAGACTCCCAAGAAGACCAGGTAAGAGTGTGATTTTTGTGTTGGCTCAAATCAGTGTCCAGTTGCAAATAGCTTTTCTTTAGAGATGCACCGATCCGATACCCATGTCGATATCAGTCCCGATATCGGAAAAACGTCTGGATCGGGTATCGGTGCCAGTGTGCCCGATCCATGACTGGGCAGATCTATTCACTCTAATTCTAGATCTATTCACTCTAATTCTAGATCTATTCACTCTAATTCTATGCTTTGTGCTCTGAGTGACGTCACGCGCTAGCGAACTCACTGCACAGATAGTTTTCAAAATGGTGCGAGCAAAAAGATCGGCCATCTGGAACTATTTCACACTACCTCAGCCAACACATTCGACAGCTACGTGCAATACGTGCACAGCGACGGTTCCAGGGGGTGTCACTAAAACTTCCATTTCTAACACCACCAACTTAATCAAGCATCTCCAGAGATTTCACCCCAAAGAGCACGCTGAGTTTAACGGTATTCAGCACAGTTTTCCTGCATCAGATCTGTATCGGATTGGCATCGATCGATAATAGTCATCAGGTATCGGAAGTGGAAAAGGTGGATCGGTGCATTCCTAGTTTTCTTCTGGATAAAACAAATATTTTCTCGCTAAATGGTTGGAAGCCTGCATGACGGTAGGATATGATACTAAAGTCCCAACATGTACGGTATTTGGCTTCAACTTAAAATTCAAGTCCCTGTGCTCATGCAGTTAAAAAAACAATTGGCTCCTCTGTGGATAGTAGTATATTCTGTCAATTTCATTTTCTTTGTACGATTTTTTTATTGTGAAGTTAGTTTGCAGCAAAAAGAATATATTCTCATTTTGAAGTATGTTACTAAGAGTCCTAGTGAAACAGTAGACACGCTCACACACATGATCCATCACTCATGCAACCAACCAGGGGGAACTGAAAGGGTCATAACCTCTGAGCTGTGAACTGCCACACACTGTGTTTATATGGGCGTGACTTTGAGATCACAAGGCTTGGTGGAGCATACAGTATGTGCTTCCAGGCAGGATCAATCACATTTTATACATTTTCCTCAGACACCAATCAGCAGGGTTAAAAGCTCGTCCTGCATAACTTTTTTGCTCAGGTCCGTGTGGAACACGAAAATGCTCAAAATTAAATAAATAAATAAAACATTACTCATTTTTCTTTTATTTCATAATTGTTTTTCATGATGGCTTATTTATTTCATAATTGTTTTTCATGATGGCTTATTTATTTCATAATGCCACTTTTCAGCAGAACGGCTTCAGCTTAGGGATGCACGATATTATCTGCATGGTATCGGTATCGGCCGATATTAGCGTTAAATTTCAATATCGGACATCAGCCATTCCATTAAAATAACTCGCCGATATAAAAGGCGCTGTTTTTGCCTGCAGCGGCAGCACAACTTGATGACGTTGCAGCTAGGGGTTGAACGACTATATAATTTTTAAACTCGACATTAACATAATAAAACTCGAGTAGAACTTGAGTACTTGATGATGTCATAGGATCTAAAGATACAAAAATAAATAAATAAAATCGTAAAAAAAAGTCATTATTTTGGGAAAAAAGACCAACAAAACATTGGGAGCGTATGTTCTGCTCCTACCATTTATCATACAGCAAATAAGACAGAAAAAACTAAACTATTAGTTATAATTATTAAGCTGCAAAAGTGAAAGAAACATGCGGCATGTCAGAAACGAAACTTAAAACAGTGGGGGGGTCGACCACCCCGCACCACCGCCAGCTGTGGTGTGCATTAGGTTTAGTTTTTGAGATTAATATATTTATAGATTTTTTATAGGTTTAGAGATTAATATTTTTTGCTTTTTGTTTCTGAAACGAGGTCAGAGGAAGCTGGTTCTGGTTCCGTCGATTGGACCCGGTTTTACACCATATTCTGTGACCTGCAACCGTGCATGCTACACCGCCCCCTACAGTCACATACAGTGGTCACAGAATATGGTGTAACACCGGTTCACAACGAGCTCCAAACAGTCAAGAAGTTGATTCATTTTCTGTTTCCCTACGGTAGTTGAACAAGAAGATTCATCTTTAGTGAAATATTTTCATACTATTGATGTATTTCTACCTGTTTGTCAAGACTGGGCCTGCTCCGCTCAGTCCATCTGCTGGGAGGAATCCATTTGGTAACCTGCCCGGTTCGGATCACGTGACGCAATGACGTAAAGGCAACGTGATGACGTCACCATGAATACATGACGTGAAATTAAAAAAAACTCGATAGATGTCCTAGGAATCGATGTGTAGATTACTCGAGTAGTCTGTTAAAGCCCAAGTTGTAGCACAATGTGATGACGTCACATGCGCCTACCTGATGTCACGGTGGAGAGGAAAATTCAAAATGTCGACGGTGTGGAAGTTTTATTTTTCGTTGGTGAGGATGTCGGATTCCAAAGATTTATGGACTACGTTGAGCCTCGTTACATCATCCGCAGTCGGAGATATTTTTCCGACGTAACGTTACCCGAGTCTCAAGCCGTCATTTCAGACGTCGTTGAGAAGCTAATGGCAGATCGCACGACTTGTTGGGTGAGTTTTACCACAGACATTTGGACGTCGTGTTAGCCCCGTTAGCATGATTTGTGATTAGTCTTATGGCACAATGGATAGAGAAAAACTTTGAAGTTAAAAAGGCACAGGAGTGCAGAGGATCCCACACTGCAGCTAGAAACTTGGAACAAGCCTCCACAAGTGAGACAGCATCACATGGGACTAATGCTAATAAATAACATTTAAAACTTTTTATTTTATATACAGTAAGTCAAAGTACTATGCATATCATATGTCTGTTACTGAATATATGTCACCAGCTCTTACAGCTGTTACACAGTTTTTATAGCAAATAAGCCTAAATAAGAGGGCTAATTTCTGACAAAGGAACATATATAGAATATCAGTATCAGTATCGGTTATCGGCCAAATAAGTTTAAACGTATCGAATATCGACAAAAAATCCAATATCGTGCGTCCCTACTTCAGCTGTCAATCACAGTCAGTGGGTTGGACTTCACGCCCACTGGCTGATCCTTCACATCCATTAGTTTTCCTGAATACCTGCTCACTGGTACAGCTAGTGTTAGTCTTGTTAAATTCAAAGAACTAAAATAGCGAGTCCTCTCGTGCGCACTCCCACAGCACTTATCAATTTTGATTTTTTTTTTTTCTTTCAGTCCATCACTTTTTGTCTCGACACCTGTATCTTCTGAAAACGTGATCCTCTGTTTGATCTGCTAAATTTACCTGAGCTGAACAAAGTTCATGCAACTCTGCCATCCTTCGTGACTCTTGACCTAGCAAGTCGCTGCTAGCTGCTATGCTAGCTGCTATGCTAGCTGCTATGCTAGCTGCTATGCTAGCTGTACCAGTTAGCAGCAGGAAAACTAATGGATGTGAAGGATCAGCCAGTGGGAGTGAAGTTCCAACTTTCTGTTGACAGCTGAACTCATTCTGCTGAAAAGTAAAATTATGACATAAAAAAGCCATCATGAAAAATACAATTATGAAATAAAATAATAAAAATGACATTGTCATAATAATGAGATTAGATACTTATTTCATAATGCTTTATTTATTTATTTAATTTTGAGCATTTTGGTGTTCCATGTTCCGAGAGTGAAACTTTCAATTTACTTGAAGAGCCACTGTCACGGAGACGAAATCTCAGTGGTCCTGTACAAGTGTTTTCAAAAGGATCCTTTGTAATCTGTTTTAAATGCATCTTCAGGACTTGTGTGGAGTTTGGTTGTTTAGAAGCATTGCTCTAGTAAGAGTTTAGCGATGTGGATTATTATAATTATAGTTCTAGAGAGCATTTCTTATGATGGGGACACAGTATGTGGGAATGCATCTTAATAAACCACACTTTGTTTTCTTGATAACAAAGGAACATGTCAGGATTGTTTTTCCCATAGAAAATTGATTTGGTGCTAGTAGGAAAATGTTAACAACAGCATACTTATTCTTTAAAACGCTGACTGTTAAACATGTTCTTTATAATTCTGGTGAAGTGAAATGTTTAAAGCAGGATCAGGATATAGATTTGCTTAATGGTCTTTTAGTGCTTATCAGATTTTGTCAAGTTTTTATTTACTCTGCATACAAGTCTTATCCCTGCCTGTTAACTCTTCTTTTAAAGCCTTATCTCACTGCTCTTTTCACTTTTCTTGGCTGCAAGTTCTTTTGTTTGCAAAGTTTATAGACTACCCTCTCCAAAAGTGGATGATTTTGGACACTGTTGCTCACTGAGTGAGCAGAGCCGGCGTTTGGGTACGCAAGTCTCAGGCGGTTGTATTATTGTGAAGGTGGAAACTTGATCGAACTGAGGAATGCGTCAGGACAGCCCCCATCTCGCCCTCACCCTGTGTCCTTTAGTCTCTCATCTCTCTTTCCTCTGCCTTTTTCATCCTGTGGATGGAGGAGGGCCGCGGCAGTGGCAAGGGGGTCAGCGCTGGGCTGGGGGATGTTGAGCGGGTGGGTCTGTATGTGTGCATGCGCCGACCACTGGGAAAGAGTTGGGGGTGGGGTGATGAGGGGGCTGGATTTTTTTTTTTGTGTGTGTGCATGCATTTCCTGGGGGAGGGGTCGTCTGTAATCTTTGGCAGAAAATGGCGTCTAATGATAATGAGGACCATGCTGCTGACCAGTCCAGCCACAGCTCTGCATGTTGGGACAGAGGAAATGTGGGGGTGGGGAGTCCTTTCTTAGCCCAGTGTGTGTTGGTAAACTAAACAAATCTTATCTGTTGTCAGGCTCTCCTCCATCTTGAGTGGCGGCCTGAAGCTCCCAGGTTAATTTAGCATAATAATGGCTGCTGGCCATTCACTGCCGCTCTAAAATGGTGGACCTCTGCAATCACCCAACTGTCCTGTTTTAGTTGTTCCCTTTTAAAATCCATCTCTTCCTGAAAACTGAAGTGAATTCTTTCAGCTTTTCTTCTCCATCTCCCTCCCTATCTTCTGTTTTTTTGGAGGA